AAAAGAGCCTGGACCAAAGTATTCCCAGTTTTAAACGACCACAGATGCCAAACCAGATTATTACACCCAGCCAAAATGTATATTATAGCCAAAGAGGAAAGAAAAATCTTCCATAACATAAATAGGCTGAAGGAATTCATGTCCACAAAACCAGTCCTTCAGAGAGTTCTGGAAGCAATACAAAGAGCTGAAGAAAGGAATGACTATACCCAAGGGGTTGTGGAAAGAAATTCAATGAAGGTTTAACTGTGGAAAAGTACAGCTGCATCAAGAGTGTAAACAGAAATAAAAACGACAGGATTCAACACACATCTTTCATTAATAACTTTAAATATTAAGGGACTGAACTCCCCAGTCAAAAGACACAGACTAGGTGAGTGGATTAAGAAACAAAACCCATCTTTTTGTTGTCTGCAAGAAACACATCTCACTTTCAAGGACAGGCACTATCTTAAGGTGAAAGGATGGGAAAAAATATACCAAGTGAATGGTACTAAGAAAAAAGCAGGCATTGCAATTCTAATATCTGACAAAATAGACTTTAAACTAAAACTAATCAGAAGAGATAAAAAGGGCCACTTCATTCTGATCAAAGGAACAATAAACCAAGAAGATATTACAATCATGAACATATATTCACCAAACTCTGGTGCACACAACTTCATAAAAACAATACTACAGGTCTTTAAGACCCAGATTAATCCCAACTCATTAATAGTAGGGGACTTCAATACCGCACTGTCTTCATTAGATAAGTCAACAGGGCAGAGACTTAAAAGAGAGACATCTGAATTAAACAATACCACATATCAAACGGGCCTAACAGACACCTACCGAGTATTCCACCCAAGCACCAAAGGACATACTTTCTACTCAGCATCCCATGGAACCTTCTCCAACTGGGGCACAAAACAAACCTCAACAAATACACAAAGATTGAAATAATTCCATGCATTCTATCAGACCACAGTGCAATAAAGCTTAAAATCAACACTGGAAGAAGCCCTCGTCACCACATGAACACACACGGAGATTAAACAAGACACTCCTGAATGATGAATGGGTCAAAAGAGAAATTGAGAAAGTAATAAAAGTATTCCTGGAATGAAATGAAAAAGACAATACAACACAACAAAACCCCTGGGACACGCTGAAAGCAGTCCTTAGAAGGGAGTTTATAGCTCTAAGTACCTACAACAAAAAATTGGAAAGAACACAAATAAATGACTTAATGTTGGAACTCAAGACACTTGAAAAGCAACAACAAATGAAACCCAAACCCAGCAGACAAGAAGAAATAACAAAAATGAGGGCAGAAATTAATGAAATCGAAACAAAGAAAATACAAAGAAACAATGAATCCAAGAGTTGGTTCTTTGAAATGATAAACAAGACAGCTAGCCCAGTTAACCAAAAGAAAGAAAGATCACCTCCAAATCAAAAAAATCAGAGATGAAAGGGGAAACATCACAACAGACAACAGAAAGGTACAGAACATAAGAGAGGAACACTTTAAAAAACTATATGCTACCAAATTTGAAAATCTGAAAGAAATGGATGGATATCTAAAACCATGGGAACCACCAAAGTTAAACCAAGAAGAGATAAACAGACCCATAACATATAATGAAATTGAAACAGTAACACAAAGCCTCCCAACAAAAAAAACCCAGGTCCAGATGGATTTACAGCAGAATTCTGCCAGACATTTAAAGAAGACCTCCAACCAATACTACTTAAATTATTCAAAATGAAAGAAACAGAGGGAGAACTCTCAAACTTCTTCTATGAAGCCAGCATCACTCTAATACCCAAACTGGGTAAAGACACAACCAAAAAAGAAAACTATAGAC